GGTCAAAAGGGGGTCAGACAAGCACCAACTGCAAGGGAGGCTGTGAACAGAGACACTGAAAGGATGGGAGAAAGAGAAAGGAGAAGCAGAGTACTGAGAGGAATGGTGAGTACAGGGCCAAAATAGGTATGCAGAAGAGAGGAAGGAGGAGTGAAACCACCACAACAAACTATCTAGAAAAGAAGTCAAGGGCTAGTGAAGAAAACACCCTTGGTTGATGGCTTCCAGTTACTGGACACCTATTGCAAATCCTACACTGAACACTGGCGCTTTCGGACATGCCCCGTCTTTCTACCTGCACCACAGGGGCAAGTCTATGACTTGACTGACAGAGAGGAAACAAGGTTCCAGAACTTAACATATGTTGTTAAGTGCCTGTCTTTTAAAATCATGTACAGGAGGATTTAGAAATAATTGAAAGAAATGTTTTGAATTGCTTTAAAATAATGCCAGAAGGACACGGATATGGATGAAACACAGTCACATCGATAATTGCTGGAGCTGAGAGATTGGACAGTTGCTCATTCCACTATTTCAAATGAAAACTTTCCATAAGAAAATTCTTGTAAGTAAAAAATTTTAATAAGACTTTCAACATTTGCTAAATCTACAGTTCTGTGACCTCTCTGACCTCCTTATCCTACCCAGAGGCCTCCGCTCCTCTCCTCCTTCAGCCTCTGGGTCTTTATGAAAACGCTACCTGTGGACTGAGACTTTTCTCATCACCTTGTCAAACCTGCACCCACCCAGACATGTGTTAGCTCCATTTTCCATCCATTTTTTCTCTATAGCAATTATCTTCTGACTTGTTCCTCTCTCTCTTTCTCTCTCTCTGTCTCTCTCTCATCCTTTGATTAGGTAGACTCTTTCAAGCTATTCAGATTATTACTAACCCAGCCAACCCACAATAAAAATAAACTTTCTTAGCTTCCAGATAGGAGCCAAGGGGAGCCAGAGTTTAGAGGTAAGACAAAGGCTATTAAAAGCCACTGTTAAGAAACAGTTGATACAGGAACAAACCATAAGTCCTTTAATGAGGGAAAATGGTCCAGAAATGTGAACACTTGAAATAAAATTAACTTGAGTTCCAAGAAGAAAGAGGATGAGGAGGACGAGGATGAGGAAGATGAGGATGAGGAGGACGAGGAGGAGGAGCAGCAGCAGCAGGAGGAGGAACAGAAGTCTAAATGACATTGTTTGGATGTACAAAAACAAATCCACCATCCTTATTTTCACAACATAATAAAAGACATTAACATCACTGCCTCTTGGTAAGGCTGAAAAACTGTTTTCAAAGGAGGAAGACCCAGAAAGCCCAGGTTAAACTAATGTAGCCTTTCATTTCTGAGACTCAGAGGCAAGGGGAAAAAAACTGACCAAGTGCAAGCAGACTGCCTTGAACTTCACAATGTGTCAGTCACTTGTTTACTTTCCTGACCGTAAATAAGAGTGGATGGGATTGAAGAGGCAGCTCAGTGGTTAAGAGCACTGGCTGCTCCTACAGAGGACCCAGGTTCAGTTCCCAGCATCCATGTGGCAGCTAGCAACCATCCTTAACTCCAGTTTCAGGGGATCTGATGCCCTTTTCTGACCTCTGCAGTGCCATGTGATGTACTTACATACAAGCAGGCAAAACATTCATACACATAAAAATAATAAATAAATAAATAATAAAACAAAATAAGCCGAGCATGGTAGTACATGCCTTTAACCCCAGCACTCAGGAGGCAGAGGCAGGAGGGTCTCTGAGATTGAGGCCAACCTGGCCTATGTAGCAAATTCCAGACCAGCTGGGGCTATAGGGAGACCTACAACAAACATAAAACAAACAAAAAATAGAATAAAATAAAAAGAGTGAGCAACCAAAGGCTTATGTTTTTATGCAGGTCACAGGACAATTAAGATGATTTGACAATTCATTATTCGACACTGAGCCATATATATATATTAGTTTTGTTTTTGCTTTCTTGTTTGTTTTTGGTTTTTGGTTTTGTTTTAGAGTCTCCCTAGTCCCAGCCCACCTGGAAGTCACTATGTAGACCTGCCTCTACCTCCCAAGGGCTGGGATTAAAGGCATGCGCCAGCACACCCAGCATATATTTATATATTTTCAAATAACAGTTTATGTCTCCTTACGAGATTTAAAGAAGCCATCCCAAAAGGTGCCTTCTAAAAAATAATTTCCAAATAAAGAAATGAGCAGAGAAGGAGCCTATATATATTTCCGGAACTCAACTGTTCTCAGAACCACTGGAGCATGTTGGAATAAAGAGGACAGAAGAGTATAAGAAGGAAGCACATCCTCAACATGTGACACCAGTTAGAGACACTGTCTGCTGAGACTCAGACCTCAAAGCTCTTCAAGCTACCTAAAATGAAGCAAAGCAAAAAAAACTTTCGAAGGACTAATGTACACTTCTTTCTTTTAATAATTATAAAGGCAAACATCCAATCAGAGAACTCAGGCATTGTTTTTTAAAGACACAATTTTCTAATCTGAGTGCCGATCAAATTAGCCTGGGTGTGTGATTTCATGTTCTATTTATTCACCATCATCCAGCTGCCTCTTACAGATGACGAAAACCACTGACTGAAAACTTCTCACACTGAGAAGTGTTTTTCCTTCTCAATTCATATTTCATGTTCTAGTAGACATAAAACATTCCTTCAACATGGAATTATTATCACTATTTCATGGATCAGAAAACTGAGAACCAGAAAAAAATAATAATAAGGTGATGACGACAGAGGCATTCAGCAGCTTGCTGGAGAGACCCACAGCCTAGAAACGTGTTCCAGAGCCTCTGTTCTCAACCTCCAGGCCACCTCTGTG